TAATCGTTGTAAAAAAAAAACAAACAAACAAACAAAGAAAAACAAAGAAACAAAGATACGAAATGAAAGAAACAGAAAAAGAAGCAAATGTGAAATTCGACGACGACGACGACGACGACGACGTTACTGGATACTGGATTCGACTTTTATGAACGTGTTAACCGAAGTCTAGAATGGATATTAAGTAAGTGCCGGCTCTGAACAATTCATCCGTGTCTCTTTAATTTTCAATAATTTGTGTATTTAGACGTTTATTATTTTGGGATAATATTTATTTTTCTCAGAGTGAACTATCGTGGAGTGCGCGATCGAGTGGGATTCGAGCAGGAATAACTTGGAAACTTTTAGCAGCTTTAGAAAAGCCGGATGCTTTTCCTCGGATTAAATGGTTAACGCGTCTTTATGAATTTGGAAAAAAGAGAATGTTGGCGGTTAGCACCAAAAGCTATGAAAGCAAAAAAGAGACTAGATTCTCGCTTAATAAAACAACAAATTAAGTTAAGAGACATGCGTGAGATACAGTTCCAACGGGGAATCATCATCTCGCTTTCGATACGAGCGTGCGTGCGTGCGTGCATGCGTGCATGAGTGCGTAGTCGCGGCGGTTTACAGATGGGCATGAGGTAGAGAATGGAACATTGGTGGATGAACGGGTGGGCGGGCGCTTTGCGATGGTTGGCACGGGCCGATTTCAATATAAATAGGAGTCGCTTGAACATGTCTGTTTGCAAATTGCGTGTACTCAAGATTAAATCGAATGAAAGAGGACGGGGAAGGCCAAGAAGAGGTGCGGTGCGCGGCGATCAGGGACTGGAGAAAAGGCAGTGCACGACGTACGTATAAGCGAGATCACGCGAGCGGCCGAATAAATGAGGGAGGGCAGCTCGTCGTCGGCTCGGCGGGCCGAAAATAAAGTGCTATTTATGCTGGCTATAAAACGAGGGAGAAAGAAAAGGAGTAAAGAGGATAATGACTGTAATAACGTTAAAACGATGAGACACGTAAGCCGCGGCAGCGACCTTTGGACGGACTCGCCTCGTAGCAGCCGCGCGAGGATCCCACGGGCGCGCGAGTAGCCGCGGCCCCACGTCGGCCATTGGCGAGGGAGCCAGGCGTCCTCGAGGCCCCGCCTATCGCCCCGACGGTAAAGGCGTTGGATGTGCGGCGGCGGGGCCGCGGGGCGGCGAGAGGGATTAGCGGTTGCGGCTTCGGCGACCGAACGAGGGTGGGAGTGGGACAGTAGGAGGGATGGTGGAGTGGATGGAGTGGACGGATCGAGAGGGGATTGGGGGAACGCGGTGCGCGGGGCGAGTGGGACGATTTGTATGAAGGGGTGGGGGATACGTTGGATAGGGGGGGGGGGGCGATTGGGGGGGGGGGGGGGGGGGGGGGGGGGGGGGGGGGGGGGGGGGGGGGGGGGGGGGGGGGGGGGGGGGGGGGGGGGGGGGGGGGGGGGGGGGGGGGGGGGGGGGGGGGGGGGGGGGGGGGGGGGGGGGGGGGGGGGGGGGGGGGGGGGGGGGGGGGGGGGGGGGGGGGGGGGGGGGGGGGGGGGGGGGGTGAGGGTGAGGGAGAGGCAGTGGGAGAGGGAGATGGAGAGGGAGATGGAGTGGGAGGGATGGGGGGTATTGGAGAGTGGGGTGGGAGGGGGTAGGTGGTCGCAAATGGAGGGGGAGAACGGGACAGGCCGCGGATTTTCCATCGGTAGCCCCGAGGGACGCATGGGCCAGGCCCCGAGTCGGCCGCGCGACCCGCGTAAAAAGGCCCGTCGATCTCCCGATTATTCGACTCTCCAACGAGCCCTGGCCTCCTCGCGCCGTCCTTCTCGCCCCCGTCCCGCCCCCGCTCCGCCGCGGCGCCGCTCGCGCTCCTTTTTTCACCACTCGCGCCACATTGTAAAATAAACAATCTTTGCGCGATAGACCTGAAATCTAAAGCACGATAAAATGTTTACGAAGTCTTGTGCTAACAAAACGATGAATGCACACAGATAAGGAGCCTGACTGCTTGCCTGTTTGTCTGCTTGCCTGCTTGCCTGTTTGCCTGCTCGACTGTCTGAATAGCGACAATGCTCCGAGGAATTCGTATTTATTGCCTTTTTCACGGTTTTCCAACTTCTACATTGATTTACATTGATGCCGAGGCTGCGGAAGATATTTAACGTGGCCGCCATTACCACCTCTTTCGCCGATTTCCTTTCTACTTTTAAATGCCATCTTGCATATTCGTCGCTGTAACGTTCGGCAATTTCGCTTGCATTAGCCAACACCTGCATCGATTCACCACTTACTTGCCATCATTTACCATGAAGCCAATAATATCAATATAATGTTAAGTATCATGTGTGTGAATCATTATATATTAATACCAATTTAATGCCAATAGATATTGCATAGTCTTTAAAAGGTTAATGAATCTTCAATTAAAATTTTGGCCAATAATGTCTTATTTCATTTTAATATTATTTACTCTCGCGACGTTTTTCGTATAGTAGTTTGCACAACTTTTTATCTGCAATTAAAGTCAACTGATAAGTATATTGCCTTTTACTTTAAAATCTCTATGTTAGCTGCACTACTCATGACAGAACTGAAGCTCCATTCTCGAAACTAAACAGGCATTTATTACATTACGTAAATCGATTGATTTTAGTAATTATGCAAACATATTGTCGAAATAAATTATTCTTTTCTTTTTTTTTCTTTTTTTTTTCTTATTATTGTATATTGTTTGAGATAACGATACATTGTCGTTCCATTATCAGAACAAAAGACTAATTTAAAGTATGAATATTTTGTCTTAAATATTTAACTTTCTTTATGGATACATGTAAAAAAAACCGGCATTTCTTTATAATTCTGTATTGGTCTTTATTTATATATTAAGAGCAATATTATGAATAACATATTTATTATATATATATATATATATATATATATATACATACGTATAATAAATAATAAAATTCCAATTATATTATAATCAAATTATAATATTATTATGCTAATAATAAATGTTATAATGAGTAAATCAAACTTAAAAATATTTAGAAATATTTACACAAATTTTTCGACAATAATTTAATGACAAAACCAAATTAACGATTTAAATACAAATTATATTCTTAGATAGAACAACTTTGAGTTTATTATTTCCAATAGATTTTTATTCCATAACACATAGAACAAGCCCGATTATTTAATTTATTCTTCTTTATTCTCAATAGTTTCAAATAGAAACAAAAACATGTTTATATATTTTTTAATCGTTATATATAAATAGCCAAAGATTTATATTTGCATGTCTAACACTACAATAATTTAAATTAAATAAATTGAAAAAATTGAATTACTCATAATACATATATTATATAGAACGTGATATAGATGTTTTTTGTTTGTTAAAATCTTATCCTTCTAAATTCATCAAGTGTATGTAAACAAAAAATATATGAGGGTATAAAAAAAAATTGATGTAAGTAAATTATGATGCATTATATGATTTAAGTGAATACATTTTTTTTAAAAGCGTAATTCATAAAAAAAAAGAAATAAAATTGTGGTGTACATAGTATATCAGTACTTTAGAAATTACAAAGGAAAAGTATATAAAACTTACTACATAATATGGCAAATACATTTTTATGTGGCAATTTAGTAATAAAATATAGTTCACTAATTTTATATTTAAATTTACTTTAACAAAAAAAAAAAAAAAAAACTTTAAAGTCTCGAAAATGTATCATACGAATATAATTACAAATATACAAATATTTAATATCAATCGTAAATATAAATAATTAATGTCTACTAGAAGACTATTTTCATCATTGAAATAAACACAATATTGGTGAAAATAAGTACTCATAAAATATTATTACATTAGTTTGTATCTGACTATTTTTATTACTTTATTCATAATCAAATATTTTCATTTATTTCATTTACTGCCTGAAATAAAACATTTATTTTCAAAATTAAACCCGGTTATTATCCAATTTCTATAATTCTTTATTTTATCTCTTTAAACACGATCTATGTATTTTATATATTTGTAAAACTTAAGTCTTTTATCGTTAATTTTAAAAATATGAATGAAATTATGTAGATGTAAAAGAAAAATACAGTTAAGGCTTAATATGGATTATTATATTATTTGAATTTTATATTATTAAGTAAGATTTTTAAAATTTCATATTTTTTTTGTTTGTTTTTGTTTTTTAATCAAAATATTATCGAAATTTTAAAATCTTTATATATATATATATATATAATAGTTATGGAATTACGTAGTAGCATAATTAAAATTACTTTTTGACTATTCTTATCGATGAGCCATCTATAAAATATCTCTGTTCTTAATCAATCAATTTATTTACGTTACTGTGAAGTTCAGTGCTGAAAATATTTCAATTATTAATTTTTCAATTATCAATCATTAAAACTGTAGTTGATGCAAGCAATGACGTTCCCACTATGAAAGTTGACGAAATTTTTGTTTCCAAAGTGAAGAACATTAAGGATACCGAGGATATGAATTTGTTGCTGCCATCTATTGGAAAAATTCAGTTAGAATTGCCAAAAGTATTGTGTGTCGACATCTGCCGTAAAATTTATTAAACAAACAACACCAAAGATAAAAAATGATTAATGTCAATTACAAAAAACAATTATATTTTAGTGTATATTTATATGTAGTATATAAAGTACAAATTTTTCACTATTTCTATTCATGTATTTATTTATGTATTTATTTATTGTATAATATTGTTTGGGCCAAATAAATGAAAAACCCATTATCTCGACATATTCGCGTTGGTAAAGCAAATAACAAAAGCGCGCCCGCGAAATCTAAACTCTAATTCTATAGGACATAAGATTTGTAACAAAGTTTTTGCCGTTATTATCAGTCATGATTTTCTTAGAATCCAATTTACTATTTTAACAATCAAATTTCTCATTATAAATCTTATTTATGAATAGCAATAATTCATTGAGTTAATGATGAACAAAAACATAAAAATTCAGGCTGTAAAAGTGAAAAACTACACGCCGTCTTTTCAGGAAGTATGGAAGAAGTTCAAAGACATTACAAAGAGCATAGCTTTCTCTCTTGTACTTGATCTTTTTCCAATTACTCCAATGGAAATGAAAGGCTTAAAAGATATCCTAAAAGTAGTCGAGCCTTTTTATCAGTTTCCTAGTGAAAAGCAGTTGCTGGAAGTCATCATCCCTCAAATGTATGATCAAGTTAAGAAAAAGATGTCTTTAACCATAAAAAATGACCTCAAAGGTATTACTATGTACAGATTTAATGAATACACTAGTATTATGAATATTTTACAGTATATAAATAACTTATGATATCATATATAATATTTAAACAATTAATGTGTACAAGATTTAAAAGAAAAATTTTTATTTCCTTAGGCGTCAATGCAATAGCTTTAACGATAGATGGTTGGACTGGTAGATGTATCGCAGACCATATGACAGTTTCAGTGCATTATTGGACTGAAAATTTTGAACCAAGGCACTTTTTATTGCAGCTCGAAAGCTTACCAAAAACATGGAATACAGCTCAAGATTTGTTTCACTTGATACAAAATGTTTTACTTAAGTACGAATTTTCAGAAGAGAAGACCAATATTCACATTGTCACAGCAAACGGATATAACATAGTAAAAGCTGTTTCCATGAATGATAAATGGGTTAGAATACCTTGTTTTGCGCGCCTTCTTCAATTAACCGTTGATGATGTATTGAAGAATTTCAATGACTTTAATAATTTAGTGACAAAGTGTCATCTCCTAGTTTCTGCTGTATGGTCGAGGACGTCGTTAGACACGGCACCAAATAAGTCGTATCTCCAGTCATCTAGTATATTAGATGAAATTGTACCTTCGTGGAATTCGATTTATGAAATGTTTGACAATTTATTAAAATTACGTACTACGCTTCATATATTCTTACAAGAATTGCCATCACCTCCGGAAAAATTAACAGAAGCAGATTGGGAATCGATATCTTGTTATATAGAAGTTTTTTCTTTATTGAAGCAAGCTAGTACTTTAATGAGCGAAGAAATGTATCCTCCGCTTTCTTTATACCTTCCCACAATACGTGGTATTTTAGAATTAATGGAATCCATGAATCTTAATAATCAGTTGTCCATTCAACTCATTAGATCGATGTGCTCAAGATTTGGTCATATTAATACAAATGAATCTATGATTATTGCAATGGTAGTTGACCCAAGATTCAAGACTCGACTTTTATCAGAAGATGAGAATTTTACTGTATTTGATATAGTTAAAAGTAAAATGTTGTCTATGAATATTATTAACAAGGAAGTAAAATATAAGACGGATAAGATCAATAATTCTACGGGTAAAAAAAAAATACTAAAAGCCTGTAAACATTAATCATCTGTTTATTTATATTTATTATTTAATCCTGTATTTAAATATATTTCAGACATGCTCTTGGAGGCATATTTTATGAATATCAAGAAAGAAAAGGATTTAGATACATCGTCTGAGAAAATGGCAGAGGCTGAACTGACATACTATTTATGTGAAAATGTAGTTTCAATGAATACTGTGATAAGCGAGTGGTGGAAGGATAATTCAAATCGTTTTCCAAAGCTGTCTCAATTAGCAAAAATATACTTGTCTATTCCAGCTGTACAAGTTAGTACCGAGCGAGCTTTTCCTAATAAGCAAGGCTTCATTGCCGATACAAGAGCTGATATATTAACAGATCAAGTAAATGTTTTAGACCTAATGAGAATTAGTTTTCTCAATAATAATTTAAGTCAATTTGAGGCTGATGTATGTCTGTAATTAATCAAACTCAAGTTCTTTCTAATTTATAATTTTAAAGTAAGAAATTTTAAGTTATTAAAAGAAAATTTCGAAAATACTTCAGAATATATGTAAGAGTTAGGTGCCATATTTGCGTTACTATGGAAACAACACGAAAGGAAATACAAAGAAATTTAATATTTTTGTGATTTAAAATATTATGCAAGCTGGATAATGCTGTTTAATTGAAGTTTAATTATTAAAAGTTATAAAATAAAAAAATGTGAAGTACTGTATAGTAGGGTATTTATTAAAAAAAAAATAAATAAATAAATAAAAAAAATAATAAAAAGAAATAAATAAATAAAAAAAAAAAGAAGATTTATTTAATATGACTGATAAAGTAGTTGATTTCATTCGTGGTTATGCTACAACATCTGAAGATAAACGAGCAAAAAATACAAATCTTACTCTTTGCTATAAAAAAGCATTTTTTCAACGTCAGCTCGATGATAGATCAGTTATAACGAGAGATAATAGCAGAATACAAACTCAACCTAAAGATTCATTCAAAGACGATGGACTGTATTGTTCATCAGAATCTCCATTAACAAGCAATGTCGTGAAGCCCTATCTATTGGATCATCAAACTATTGTATTCGAATCAAACAACCGGATGTGCGGTAAAGTTCTTGAAATTGCAATCAGAGAAGTCAATATATTTCCAAATCAAAATGATTGTAAGCCTGTACCAGAAATCACAACCGTAGCTTTGTTATTTAAGAATAAAGTTATATGCAAAGCGAATCATCCGTTTAATAGAAAATTGCATAAGCTATTTATTAGAAACTTATCAGATTCAAGTAATCTTGCTATAAAAGTTCAAGCTCGTAATGGACTCCACAGTATGTTACCACTTCCACTCCCAGGGTATTGCGTTAAGCATAAAAAAATTGAAATTGATTTTGCAATAAGTGACAATAGTGACTGCATTTACTCAGGATTATTGGTTTGTACTATTTCACTAAATGTTACTGGCTCGAATCCCAAAGCTGAATCAACAACCTATTTATATGCAGCATCGAGGAATGATCCGAACGACCCAAGAAATAGTTTTTCCATTATCAAGCCGATACGAGACAATAATTATAAACAAGTTCGTTATTTTCTACTTCAAGATCCTGCTTTGTGTTTTCCTACTTCACCACTTGATGTAATTCAGAAGCAAAATTTAGTAAGTTTAGTGTTGATAGTACATGGTTAAATATTCTTTTACACTTTAATGTCATATGTCATTTAATTTTTTTTTTTTTTCAATTTAATGTTTTAATAACAGGCTAAAAGAATCCTACCAAAGCCACCAGCTATTGTCATTAACGAACCAACGTTTTCTTTACTGGACGTATCGTTAAGAAGTTGGCTCCAAGAAAAGCGACCGCTAAGGCCATCGTTTAGTAGCACACAAATTCCAAAACACCATGCTGGTCGCAAGCAAGTTCTTACGGTGACAGTGTTGAGAGGCGTTGAAGTTCCAGTTAGAGAGGAATCTGCAATTGTGCAGCCAATTATTGAAGTTGAGTGGGAAAATATTATTAACTGCACTTCATCGTCCGATGGATCTGCCCCTGTCTGGCAGCAGACACTTCTATTTGAAATTCCGACTTCAAAAATAAGGTATTAAAAGTATATTATTTGTCCATCTCATTATGCCTTTAAAATAACATTCACGAAACAACATTCGTTTAATAAAATAAGATATGACGTCGCGTTGCAAACTTATTATAATTATATTCCTGTATTATCAAACTCCAATTGAAGATACTTGCATGTTATGTTGCAAGGAGTAATTCAACTATTTTGTAATAAAAAATGCTTAAATTTTCAAGCTTTGAACATTGTGTAAAGTTGAGACTCTTTGATCAACACCCAGTTTGGGGTTTGCAATGGCTTGGTGAAGCAAGAATTCCAATAGAATGCCATAGAAATTATCAACAATTAGAGCGATGGATTGGGCTGTCTCCACTCTATAGTCCAGCTCTGTCGTTTGGATACGTGAAAGCTAGTCCAGGACATTCGTATACGAGAATTTATGTCCTTATGAAGATGGAGCAAATGGGAACAACAAATCCTGTTGATAATAATTCGATAGCTACATTATCCAAAGCCATCCAACGATGTCTTGTTGTGCCTTATAAAATAGCGGAAATCGAAAGTCCCGAAGCCGCTGCAAGTCTTGTTATGCTTTTGACACCTTTGCCCGTTCATTATGGACCTCTTACACCAAGACAAGCTCTCAATTTAAATAAAGTTGATCATTACGGACGGTCTGCTCTACTTGCAAATTTACTGCACGGCCTTGGCTTACAGTCATATGTAATATTAGGTATTAAAAATATTTAAAAGAAAAATTGTTTATTGTAATTTCAAGATTAGATTAAGGGATATTTCTGAGAAATCTTGTATGAATTGCCACTAATTAATAATTTTGAATTTTGAATTTTAAATAAATTAGCAAAAATTGAAGAGTAATTTGTTCCTTTTAACAGGATCTTCTCAAACGAGAAAATGGGCATCCTTTACACTTACAATAGGTGAAAATTCAAATGTATTGTTGTGGGATGCTGAAAATGGCGATCATTATGAATTACAAGATAATCGATCTGCTCTTATCAGCGTTTCTCGTATGATTAATTATCAGAATGTAAGAAACGTTTAATGATTAAAAACCAGCGTATAATTGGTGTTAAAATATAATCGGCCAATAAACGGAACTTTAACTATCATTAAACATTGCAGATCTGGGAAAATACTCAAAAATCGATTGCTCCAATGAATCTCAAGTATGATCCAAAAAGTAACAAGGATTGGCAATTATTAATAAGCAATACTTTAACACCAGGTTCACGAAGCGTTCAAGCGGTGGATTTAAATGTAACGTCACGAGAAAATGACTCCGAGAAGGATATAACACAGGAAATCGAAGAGAATCTCAGAGATAATCTTACTCAGTGGCGAGCCGGCTTAGAATTAACAACTATTTTTAACAGACACGCCGACACAATTCTTCGCGATATTCTAAACAAAACTAATGTCCCAATGGAAATCCAACTGGACAAACAAGAATTGAAAAAACTATATAGAGCATATTACACACATGGATTTATCGTTAACGTTAGATATACCGATCTCGAAGATCTATCCAGTTTTTTGCTAACGACGAAAATCCATACAATGACTGGACCAATCGAATTTGCTTTAGTCTGTCAGGTTAAAAAATTGGTCGGAAAAATTCGTTCCGTCTGGTTAGCAGTCGTTATTCTAAGAAATAGAGCTTAAACATATATACCTTATTCATAAAAATATTTATCACTGATTCTAAATATTTTAGATTAATAGGTTGATATTTTAACTAAAGTTTTAAACTTTATTATCTTTCAGATCATTGTACCAAAATTTTTTTCCCAAAAAGCGAAAATATTTTGTATTTGACCATTAGCTTTAAGTATAGGTTATACATACATACATATATACATACACACACACACACACACACACACACATATATATATATATATTGTTTTTTAAAACACATTTGAAAATTAACAGTCAAGGCTTATGCACAGATAATAACAAAATCAAGATTTATGTAAATTTTAATTGTTTCATCTTAGGCAAATTATAGTTCCGTTATTGCTAAGAGATAGAAGTCAATCCCATGTTAATTGACTGAATATTTAGATTTAAGGACAAGCTCGGTAATTTATTTTTTCTATTCAATGATTCGAGTGTGCGTTGAAAATGTAAAATGGAATTTTGATACTGAATATATATATATATCTATTAAATCATGCAAAATACTTTCTAGAATTTTTTCTGTGTTATATAAATTGATATATAGATACTTTTTTAATCGATAAATAAGTATATCATTGTCAATTATTGGTGAAGTTATAAGAATGAATAAATGTAAATGCCTTTTTTTTCTAATAAAACATTGCTCAGCAATGACTTTTTATAACAATAATAGTGATATTCATTACATGGTGATATCGATTAACTTATCAATCGTACTTTATTACCCACGGCTTAAAAAAAAACCAAATAAACATGATTCACAAAGTCGACACATGGATGACTAAAAAATCGTCTTAGACTGGTAGCCCAAGTCTACCATGCAAAGTACGTAGTGTACTCACAGAAAGAACATTTTTAATTAGAAATCATAGCGAAAGCCGTTTTTTAAACGCAAGCTAATTATGCATTACCATTTGTCATCCTTTCCTTTCTTCTTTTTTTTTTTTTTTACAATTATAAACTTTTTCGGTTGCATTGAAAAAACGTTTTCTTTTTCTCTAGCGTTCGCGATGCTAACAGGATGTAGACCCAAATCATGTTGAACATACGTGGTATTATTAATAGTGAATTGCGCATCGCATTACACGAACAGTTTGGAAAATGTTGTATTTAGTCGCATCTTTCGCACGCACACTTTCGCTCGTCTACTCTTTCTCTCGCAGCACTTTCATACTTTGCTTTTTTTCTTATTTTAATATCCATCTAAATAATTGCACTAAGTTTTACATAAATATCTTATATTGAAAACAATTGCACTCAGTGTGCAATTATCATTATACACTAAAATTAGAAATAAATATTATTACTCCGTATTGTGCAACTTGGTTATTTTGTACGTGGATTCAAGCGTCGTATAAAATTTTAAACGACTTTATATGCGCGCGTAACAACACACAAACACATGTGCGTATGCCCGTTTGTGTGCGTGCGTGCGTGCGTGCGTGCGTGCGTGCGTGCGATTACGTATGTATGTATATATACGGTAGAAAGAACTTGGACAAGTCTGCACTTTATGACTGTACAATGCGAATTTTACATGTAAAAACTTACATTCGATAAAATTTGATAAAATTTGTATTTCGCTTTCGCGAACAAGGCAAATACAATCCCTTACGTTTCATTTATAAGGAGATTATCTTCCATTTTTCCACCTTTTTTTTATTTATTTACTTATTTATTTATATATTTTTTTTTTATTAAATTAAGAACAAAATGCAATAATTTATAAATAAGCCTCGCTTATAAGCATTTATCGTCCCCTGCCAAAAATATATAACGCTTAAAGTACAAATCTTCGATTGAATGAGAATAACGCGTTTCTACGATTGGATAACAAATTTGGGTCGTCACTGTTAATGCCGATAAAATGTTTCTTCTTCGCTCACTCGGCCTAAACGTGTAAAACGAAAAGTCGTCACCGTAGCCGTGCTTAAGCTATCCAGCGCGTGCATACCGAATCGGCTCGTGTCGACCTAGGGTTTGCACTTTTCCATTGACGGCAGTGTGATAGATTAGATTGTTTATACAAATATGGAATTCACGGAGCTCGCTAAATCATCGATTTATCGTGCACGCTCGCGCGCTCCGAGTTTCTTCTTCTCACGAGTTCTCCGGTTCGGGGGCATGGGGGAGAGGCTCTCATAGCGGTGACGTCCGCTCACTGGAGCTTCTTGGAAACGCCGTTTGTGTGGGCGTTACCGAGACCGTTAATCAGAGCGACGTTCCCGTTCACCTCCTTCCCGGCAGTTTTCGTCTCGGCCAGTCGTCGTCTCTCCAGCTTCGCGGCGTACGCTTGTTTGCCCTAAAAAGCACATTTACATACATTTATTCTGGTTTTCATTGGCCGCTCAATTTTGTTTTTTATCCTCATAAACTTGACGAATTTCATTGAATTTACGGTTTTTCTTCATGAATAATTAAATTTGCCATTTTTCTTATCTCATGCTCGTGTCACTCATACTCGTCAGTGTAAAACATAAATTTTCAAGCATTTGATTTAGAATTTTTCACAATACGTAAACAAAATAGCCAGTAAAGAATGAAGTATCAAGACGAATATTTAAATACTTCACATAGGATACAAGATAATTATTAATTCGACTTTTTCAATTTAGTACGATAAGTTTTACAATAATTCTGCCAGATTTCTTGCATCAAGTAAGTCAAGGTTAAATATACATATTACTATAATGTGATAGTATTAGACGTTAGAAATAGATTTATTTGTGATGTTAAGGAGATAATACAATACGATAATTTAATATCGAGTATTTCAGTCTATTTAGTTTCGTTAATGCTCGTAGAGATTTTTTAAATTGAAAGGTATTATTTTTTTTTTTTTTCAAAAAAATGTATGTATTCTGTTTCAAAAGATAAAAAATGTACTTAATATTAGAAACTTCTCATAGTACGAGTGATATTTTGGATTTGATCTTTTTGTAAGTTTTAAAATTATTCTTATTAGCTCGATCCCATTGCTTGATACACTAATTTCTACAAATACACATGTTTACGAGTAATGATGTTCTATATATTAGATACATTTAGTAATACATTTAGATATGTAACAACTTACTTTAACTTTATTAGCTTTCTTGTTCATAAAATCCTTTGAATGCAATAATTTAAATAGATAGATAATATATATATATATATATATATATATTAATAAAATTCTGCTAAAAGATTTGTCTGATGAACGTGCTTGAATTTTCGTACATATATATAAATATTCAAAAGTATGGATTAAAAATTACCTTAGCAATATAAGCTTTCGCATAGAAATTTCCAAAAAGGACGATGAAGGAAATCATGTAAATAACAAGGGCGTACTGCATCCAAAGTGGAAAGTCGCATCCTGACTTAATACCATTGATGCCAAGAATTAAAGCGGTCGTAAATTGAATTAGCTGGAGGATGGTTAAGTATTTTTTCCACCAAAGGTATTTGGTTACCGATGGTCCCAGCGCTGCCAACCCATAGTACGAGTACATGAGCACGTGGATGAAGCTGTTTACCATCGCAGGTAAGAATGCTGAGAAAACAATACGTTACGCTATCAGTTTGCGTGACATCACACTTGCTAAGCAATATAAATTGTACATAATTTCTTTCTCATTTTTATTACGAGAAGCTTATTCATGCGCTAATATATCATAAAACTTTTCCATAGTGCCAATATACTTGTACGAAATACCGTAGTAAGATTATCGCTATATTAAAATGGTGTCGATGCAAATGTAAATTAAATTGTCGCTCCAAAAAAGTCAAAAGAATGATTTTTTTGAAATAATTTAACATTTATCAGAAAAAGATTCAATAAAACTTTTAAGCATATACTTACTGGAACCACTCGGGACCCACTTAATACCAATCCACCAAAGTGAGAACATCGTGGAGTGATGGTAAACATGAAGGAAACTCAGCTGGTTATCCTTCTTACGTAAAATAAAGAAGAATGTGTCGCAAAACTCAAGAAGTTTACTGAAGTAGTACCACCAAACAGCGTTTGCAATCTTCGAACAAAGATATTTCAAGATAAAAATACGTTATAAGTAAAAATACATTAATAATTATATTTTTATATCCATACTTTACGACTATTAAAACTGATTAAGGCTCTCATATATAGTTAGTACTCTCTAATTAGCATTTAATAGAAAACAAACAAACAAAAAATTGCACCCTAAATAAATGCACTACTAAAGAAATTAAGAATGCGGATTACTTCAAAATTATCATTTTTACCTGTAACTCTTCCGGCCTTGATATGTGCCTTATCGGCTGGCATACGTAGCTGTAACGTAACTTGGTAGATGCTACGAACAACTGTAACATGTAAGTTTGCGATTAAAATTTCGGCAAATACAAATGCATGCCTGTCAAAATTAAGGAATCCATTGATCCAGGATTTACAATTCTTTCGTTGACTGTGGCCTGTTTATCGACATATCATTTTGAAAAGTCTCCTTAATCATAATATTATAATCTAAAGTGTCTTTAATCACATTGTGAGCGATCGATAAGCCACCCGTTGCCAAAAGTCATTGAAATGAAATACATAAACACGCCAAAGATAATAAATGAATGTGCGGAATACATAATGTGAACGTACTTCAATGGCAATGTAAGCATTGAGTAGAGCCATGGCGAGGTTGTAAGGTACCAGGGCCCACGTAAGCTTGAATGCCTTTCGCTGCTTCATGATTTTGGGCCCGGACCACACAATGAAGAGGTACAGCAACGTGTACAGAAGCGTTGGCTTTGGCGAATCCACAAAAAGCCATCCTCGCGTTCTCTCATCTGCACGTTAAATGGACGCGTTAAACGCGTGCCAAGGAAGTTTAAAGAAATGTCCAGATGCAATATGAGATCAATTTAATAATTACTTAACAATAACTGCCTTACTTCAATCGCGTTTGCATTAATTATTCTCCTTCGCGCTTTTAAAGCAGATCACTTTTAGTAAATTAACTTGGAATATTTAAAAAATGCACCATCCATGCAATTACGAAACGAGTTCCACGACCCGCCGAGAATGCAGTTCCATTTCGTTGGCGAATTCATTAGCTTTCATTTTCGGATTTGATACGTGGACTTCGATTTCTTGCAACTCTCATAAATTAATGTCACCGCTCTTTTAACACACACTTACGTGTAACGTTTCGTATAAACGACCTAAATTTTTCAACAATCAACCGAGCTATTCCACATTTCATTTATTTATCACTTTTATAAATAATTTACGTATTCTTGCAGTGCCATCATGGTTCTTAGCGATACAATATGAAATTACCCGGTTTGTATTGAATTAAAAAAAAAATAAATAAAAAATAAAAAAGTACTAGTAGAAGAAGATGAAGAAGAAAAACTAATAATAACATTTTGAAACAAGTAATGCAGACAGTTTGTGAAGCAGTTTATTTAAGGAAATTTTGTGAATAAAATAATAAAAATAAAGAAAAGAGTATCTTTACCTGCCAATGACAGCGTCCAGAGATAATAGTCGTAGGCATCGTTTATTAAAGTCGTCGTGGTATTGATGAGGCTTGCCATTGCCTGAAACAGTAAAAACAAACGTACGTGATAAGGTAAATTGTCTGCTACGTTTCGCCTCTGTTATATCGGTGTAGATGGTCAGCTGCCGGGAAATTTGCGCTTTATGCGGCCGCGTCTAGAGATATGATTGAGAGTCGCGCACTCGCGGACCTGACCGCGGGAGGAGAAACTTTACTCTCACTCGGAAATAATTTGCAATCTTTGTGAAGAAAAAAAAGGCACGGAAAAAAAGCAGATGCCCGGATGTTTATCAAGCGCGAACTTGTACACGAGGAGAGATAAGTTAAACGTCGATATTTTGAATTTTCCAAATAATAGACAAAGGTTAATGTCATACTTCTTCGCATTACGTTTTATATAAGAAATTTATTCTACTTGCGGTATTACATGACTCTCAAATTCACGATAAAATCATAGGCAACAAAAATGTGAGTGCTCCGAAAAAAAAGACAAATATCTCTTTACAAAACACTATTTCTCCTTCGATTTGATCATATCAATACGTCTATGATAAATTCATTATATTGAATAATTACAACTTTGCGGTCCATGCACTTGGATCATTTATGTGCCTTAACACAACGTGCTACTTTGTTTAATCAAAGCAAATTTGTCGTGATAATTTTCTTGGATGTCGTTATATTAAACAATAATTGACTGTGAACAGGAGCAAATTAGTACTAATTTACGTTATATAAGAACAGAGGTGATCTGTGCAATAATTTCACTCGGACGTTATCTCACTATCTACATTTGGTGATTTCTCTAATAAATAGGCAAATTAATTAAAGTATCACTTAAATAGAATTTATCGGGAGCTCGTTCCATTAATTTTCCAATTATCGTAAAATTAGTTTCATCTCACATTAGAAAGCAAATGAATTAAATAGCTTTTTACACACACGTACACACGCTTCGTGTCATTACTCTCCTAGAATAGAGTATATTTCAACGAAAAATTATCTTAGAAACTAATGATTAATTAATAGTAAGGCAAAAAAAACAAACAAAATATAAATAAATTAATAAAATAAAAATGTACAGTTGCGGAAAAGTGTTAGCTGGTAATATTAAAATTCCTCTAAATATTTGTAAAGTTTTCCGATATTATTCTTTATCCTTGTTCTCGCATTGGACTTTGTAAGCACATTGATAAAACATGAGCTGGCAAATTTTGTGCGCGACGCGCACGATGAAATAGTCGAAACTGCAAACAATGAAAATACGTATGCGCAGGTGCTTACGTGAATTTCAATGACAATTGGTAATAAAACGAATGCCCTTTAATATAGATGCCTTTGATATAAATGCCCTTTAATTAAAATAATTTAATATAAACCTTAAAATATATTTCATCGAGAAATATAAATAAATGCTTGTCAAAGCGCAATAATTTTAGATAACGCGACTGATCAAATAATTACGTAATCCTGTTCAATGCACTAGAAATTCTCTGTATTTTCACCTCCGAATGGAAATACTTTACATTTTAAGATTCGTCATTCTATTATTATTATTATTATTATTAGCGCGTTAGATTTTCTATCATCTTGTTTTTAGAGAGAAAGTCAATGTAAATCAAATTACAAATGGTTATTTGCCAAAGAGCTTGTAATTTTTATTTATAAATTTTAACTTACACTTTATTATCTCACAAGACTTACGTCAATAAAAAACTTCGATCGAATGTGTTTGTACAAACAAACTTTCTAATAACCAATGAATTCGTACGTTCTATATTATTTTTTAATGCTTGTATAAAGCAGAGAGGCATGAAAATTACAATGTAAAATTGTCGATGCAATCCTTAAAATCGTAACGGCCTCACTCGTCAATGCTCATTAACAGTGAGCGAACCGAGTGGGACGCCGAGATAACGCAAACACCAATGTCGCTCGTATCAATGGGACAAGAACCACAAGGGAGCAAGTTTTTCATGTTACATACGACACTTCGGGACGTTAACCCTATAACGAGCAATGGCCGCGAAAATTTTTCTGGCCCCGAGCGCAGGCGTGCGTGTAATAATAACCCCATGGCTGGCGATCGTTGAACGCGCGCAATTTCACTTGCGGAAAACGGCACGAGCTCTAGCCAAGCGGCTCCGCGGCTCTTTTTCCCAGCTCGCCGGGAGAAAGTGCAAATTGATCCTCGGCGCTTGGACGCGTCTCCATTGTGCGTCTCGTATCGCGATCCGAGGGCCTTGGCCGCGCCGAGAGCGAGAGTTTTCATAGCTCTCGCTCGATCCCAAAAGACAGTCGATCATCCATTCCTTTGGCTCGTGTGAAACCCCCGGATCTCGTTGAAGACGATCAAAGTTAACGGCTGACGGCCGTCTCGAGTAGTACGAGTCGAGTATGGCGAGGCCAAGAGTATCGCGGCTCTTCCCCCTTTCTTTATGCGTCGACATCGCGATTCCCTTCGCCAATTAGCCACCGTCCAATAATGTTATTTTAGCGGCAAACGTCCTGCCATTTTATCCGTACTAATCTATCGCAAAGTCGAGTCGATCGATAAATAACATAAAAAAGTTTAACGACATTAACTACTCGTGATCGTTAGCTTATACGCACTCGTGCGTGTACAATAATTTGCTAATTATGTTTAAAATTTCACGCCAATGCCAAGGCACACGTTTAAAATGACTTTAATTTTCGCTTGGCCAAACTTTCTATTTTATACCTCATAATTATAATACGCTTATAAAATGTGACTATTGTATTATACTTTTCGATTAAAATGACAAATAATTACAATGCGCTGTGTTAATTTTAAATAATCAGTAACGAGACTTCAGTTGTCGACTTTTTAGTATTATTATTTAATATGTCGGTTAATTATTTATGTGCATATGATAATACAGACGCTATTGGTATTTGTAATGAGTGCCGATATAAATAACAAACGTCGTGCGTATAATTACGTCTGCATTTTCTGTAAGCCAAAGCTATGTGGTTACGATAATGTTCTCGATAATAGGCGTGAAAAATAATGATAATAGACCGTTGACTAAATGAGTTCTCAACTGTGTTAACGGAATAAATATTTACATATATTTACTTCTGTAACTGGCAAAATAAGATATTAAACATAGTAAAGTAATAAATTTAATAGTTTAAATTTCATTGTTGTTTATTTATGGATTTCCATAACTCGCGATTAATAGGTATTGTTAAAGTTTTTAGCCGCAAAGTAATGCGAATCCTAATCAATAACCTAAATATATCAAATAATTTATTTAAAAATAAGTCCAAGTCATTGCATTTTCACTTATTTTTTTTTCTTTTTAAAATTAATGTTTATTTTTAACGAATATTACGATTTATTCGAATCCTATAAATGTTTAAGGTAAGCAACATTGTAATAAGCATACGAGAGAAACAAGATTTCACATTAAACTTTCATCAGTGTTCTGCAAAGGAAACGTATAAAAGAAATTTTTTAAACTACATGACCATACTTGTATGTTTTAACTCATCGATAAATTTATATAATAAGATACCTTTGAGAAACTTTGAGAACATTTCTCGACCTACAACTTTTTTTAACATTGATTTAATCGATTGGACCTCAAGCGATACCGAGATCTGTCCGATACTGGTACCCAATTATACAGTGTAAAGCCAATCTCCTTCCGAATCAATTCAATACAATATTACCATTTTTATATCGTTTCTCTCCTTTATTATCAACACTGTGTATCTTTTACGAAGGAAGGACCTCAATAGCAGGTAAATTGAGGCTTCAATGAGCTTAAGGAACATTGCTGTACTTTGAATAGTCACGAGAGTTAAAGAGCATCGATTTACGGGATCGAAAAATGTGCAGAGATAATTCGCAATAAAAAGTAAAATTCTCCTTTAAATCCATTTCACGATTTCATGTGATTGCGCCCATTAGAACGCACGCTCACTTATCAAATCGATCATCGATTTACACCCCAGAAATTTGTCTAACTCTTGGAAACACGACACAAAATATCCCGCTGGACGAGTCGATGAGAAGAAGCTCACTGTGCCCTGACGGGACAGATAATCCGTCCGGGGTTGCGCTTACCTCGGCGAAACACCGGCACCTGGGCCGCGGCGAAGGCTAGGTGCAAGTCTCTCGTGGTGTTGAGTCTCAAGCGAGAGGTGCTCGCATGGCCCTTCCTCTCGCGTAGAGCAGCGACAGTGTTAGCGACAGCGACAGTGGCGGTAGCAGCGAGTCGCTTGAACCGCGACGTCTAAGTCCCAGGCGTGCAGCCGTGCTTTATAACTTTGGTCCACGCGGCGGCTAACGAGGCCAAAAGTGCCCGCGTGAAGGTAGGAGGGGAATCGGGCGATCGGGGACCAAAACGAAGGAAGAACGGCCGTACTGAGGGAACACCGTCGAACGCGTCCGTGCACCTGCCGATGACCGATTCGAGTGAGCTCGAATATTTTTACCAGGACCGACCGGCGGTCGAGCCGAGCCCTCCTCCTCTTTCACCACCCCCCTCCTACACCTCCTCCTCCTCCTCCTCCTCCACTGTCTGATTTTCGCGGGGCAAGACGCAACCGGTGGGAAAGAGAGAGAGAGAGAGAGAGAGAGAGAGAGAGAGA